TAACATAACATATCTACATCCCCCCCACCCCCCACACACACACACCATCTTATCTTATTAATATTATAAATTCGAACGTTTAGATTGATGGATGTTTGTTACTTTGTAGCCTAAACGGCTGAACGAATTTCGATGAAATTGGGCATACATGTAGAAGCCCTACACTTACGTCACGCTTTAAGCTATGTATTTTCACGCCATTAAACTTAGGGGGTAAGTATTTTGGATAAAAACCCTAATGTGGAAAAGAAACCATAAGTTGCTGCCAACATCAAGAAAGCAAGATTGCCAAGTTATATAATTTTGACATTTGCAATTAATAATTTGACAAATGAGGATGAAGTCGCATGAGAACAGCTAGTACTGTTATAAATTTCGATACAAATGACTTTAAAAAATAATGGTCTAACGGTCATAGGAGCAGTACTTGTTAATTATTTTATAAATAACACAAAGGCAACTACGTAAAAGATATCGAACATTCCGATGTGACGACTAGAAATTTACTGACAAAACACATACAGTGTATGTGAGAATCGAAATTCTAAAATATTAGTAAAAAAAAAACACATTCAAATTTGTACCTAGCACAATTTTCTTTGGTTTTTGAAATATTAAAAAACTGTATTTTTGTGTTACAGAGAATCATATTTTAGAAGATGTGAATAAATGCGTGGTGGCGCTGCAAGAAGGAGACCCTGACTCTCTGGAGAGGACTGCGGGAGCTATCCGCGGGAGAGCTGCCAGGTAACTCACTCTTATCACTCATTCTATTAATTTTTGTCATTCATTCATTCAGTTTTTGTCATTCATCCGACTTGAAGGACCAGAATCTACCCTTACCCCTAAATAATGTCCATATTTACTCTTTTTTATATAATTATCTCTATCAGTGATGTCTGAATTAATATTCTAAATGGAAAACTTAAGATATATGTATATTTGGGAGAAGGTAACATAGTAAATATCTCTGCATTTATCCATACAAACTATTCATTCAAACGCCATCTATTTGTCAAGACGTTGAAACTTAATTTAAACAGCGCCATCTAGTTATTAAGACATTAAAACCATCCGAACAGCGCAATCTATTGATACTTTTCCAGGGTGTGCTCTGTGGTGACGCAGGAGATGGACAACTACGAGCCCTGCATCTACACCAAGCGTGTTCTAGAAGCAGTCACCGTGCTCAGAGATCAAGGTAAATTATCTTCTAGAAGTTCCTTTGAAAAGTAGGGCTTTTTATTTATGTAAGAATTATTCAAAAAATACTGAGATTGATATCTTATATAAGTAAGCGTTTTTACGCTTTATGAATATAGATTTGGGTTGAATTATAGAAAAGCACTTTCTATCAAAAAATGTTTATTTTCTTAATATAAAGAAACTTATGGCACTTTTCAGGAGATTTTCACGTTTATAGATTTTATTTTACTTAAATCGTATGCAATTGAATTTTTAGATTTTTCTTAGCCTTTCGATATAGTTGGAGTTATAAAAGTGGTATTAAATTTAAAAATCTATGTCAATATTTTAATTCTTAATAAGTATTGGTTTTGTAATCTACGTATTTTATTCAATAGTGTATTTTTAAATTAATAAATCACATATTTAAGTGAGAATGGAATGGTTTCCCACAAGGCACTAATGTTGGCCCAACTTTTTTCAATGAGTTTAGACCAATTGCTATTGCTTTTAAGGTGTTTACGTAATGTTAAGGTATTTAAAACAACAAATCAAAGTAAATAACTTATATTACATATCTGTTATCACAGAAATTATTACAATTCTAAGAAATTTGAGTATTTTTCGTATATAAAAATATAAATTACAATATAAGAATCTACAATTTGGAAATCGATTTTATAAAATTTATACCGATTTTTACTAAATCGATATTAATTTTAGACAATCAATGTTAGATGAAGATATCTTGTCATTTTTTTTTAAATTAAAATGAAAGAGCACGTAGAATAATTAGGGGTTGTTTTACAAGGGTAGTTAGTTCTTCTCCGGTGGTGGGGGATGCGCCCTTATGTACTCCAGAGCCTTGAGGATGGCTTCAGGGATCGGCGGAGGGGTTGGTAAATGGGAACCCTGTAAAGAAAATCCAAATTAGTACACGATTCGAATAATCATACTAATATTATAGCGAAAGTTTAGATGGATGGATGTTTGAGTTTGTAGCCGTAATGACTGGATCTCGATGAAATTTGGCTGGTAGAGAGTTTAAAAGAACATATGCTACTTTGGTTTTTTTAATTCGCGGAGTCGCGGGCAAATGCTAGTACAGTACATAAAGTTATCTACAAGTACAATCGGGGATAATGGTGGTGTTCAATCAATTCTTCATTCGATTCCAGGGTGATAAATTTTAAAAATTCTTTCACCATTAAGTTACGTTATCACTTAGTAACATAGGCAATATTTTTTTTAATTTCACTTGGACGAAGACGCGAGCAATAGTTAGTCTCTGAATACTAATAAAACTCAAAGGGGGTACCTTTTTCTTTTAAAAATTACTTAAAAACTTATGCATTTAAAAAATTCTCTCACCATTATAAAGCTACGTTATCACTAAGTAATATAGGCTATATTTTTTTAATTTCACTGGGACAAAGACGAGAGCAACAGCTAGTATCTGAATACTCATAAAACTCAAAGGGAATCCCTTTATCTTGTATAAATAACTCAAGAACTTATGTCGATTTAAAAAATTCTTTCACCATTAAAAAGCTACGTTGTCAGAGAGTAACATAGGCTAGTTTTTTTTTTTAAATTTCATTAGGACAAAGACGAGAGCAACAGCTAGTATCGGAATACTTATAAAACTAAAATACCCTTTTTTTCTTGTCATAATAACTCGAAAACTATTGTGCCGACTTCAAAAATTCTTTCACCATTAAAAAGCTACGTTATCACTGAGTAACAAAGGCTAGGTTTTTAAATTCACGGGGACTAAGACACTAGAAATACGTCTTTTTACCTGTGCTTGGTATCCATTTTCATCAGCGGTATATTGTAGTTCAACGACTTCTCCGTTTGGTGCAGTCCACCTTGCTTGACCTTGAGCTGTCTGGGCCGCGTTCTCCTGTTCAATAAAACCCCTGAATTAACAATGGATCTATCAAATTGTCACTGTCTATGGAGGGTAGGCAGAGTTTGTGCCCCTATTTACCGTAATAACTAAATTCACTCCCTTCTACCTTCATCTATCTATATACATATAATAAAATTGGTGTCTGTCTGTCCGCAAGCCGCGTTAGTTCCGGGTAATCTAATAAGGTAAGGAAAGGTAGCTGACATAGACGGGCATATTATAGGGTAATTTTATTTTAATATTGCTTGGACGAAGTCGCGGGCAACAGTTTGTTGTCTTCCAGGATGTTTTAAAAATAGCCAAGTTAATAACTTGTCGAGCCCTTCTGGGGACGTATAGATGTTAAGCTTTGCTTTTATTGACCGACTTCCCAAAAGAAGGAGGTACCCAATTCGTCTGTATATTTTTTTATGTGTGTTATACTATACTGGCTGTAGCCCGCGACTTCGTCCATGCAATATTAAGATGAAAAATGTAGCCTATAATATGGGTGTCTGCTACCCTTCAGTGTAAGCCCGGTCGAAATCGGCCCAGCCGTTTCGGAGATTACCCGGAACAAATGCGGCTTGTGAACAGTCAGACAGATAAAATTTTTTTCAAATGCCATTTTCGTTATCAGCAACGCAAATACATCTTCCCGAAATCTGGAATTTTTCTTTTGACATAACAGACAGACATTCCAATTTTATTATACTTACTTAGATTACTTACCGATTGTGGGTTATTCAAAGCTCCGGTTTCCTGAGCTGATATTCCATTCTCAGTCTCGTAAGCCCATCGGTATTGTCCTTCGAGTCCTACATCCTGTTCCTGTCGCAGTATCTTAGCGTCAGCCTCACCAGATCTGGCAAGAATGTGGGATACGTCGGCTGCGGCGCACGCCACCAGGGCTGTGATGATGAGGAGCTTCTAAGGATGGAATAGTTCCACGTATGAATGAATGAATATGTATTTGTTGCTACAAAAAAGAAATTACGAAAGAATCCAGCTCAGCGTATGCATTAGAGACTAAGCCGTTCCTGCGCTGATTTTCAGTTGGCTCCTTCGCACTCAACTAACAACGACTTCACTGTTATGTGATGTTTACTTTCAAATTCAAAAGCTTAAATATGGTCTTGGAATTAACTTATCTTACTTGATTTCGCCCGCGACTTTGTTGGTAAAAAAACAAAATTGAAAAGCCTATGTGTTCTTCCAGATTATCCTCTACATCAGTGCTAAATTTCATTCAGATCTGTACACCAGTTTAGGCTACAAACTCTAACAAACATCTATTTAAACTTTCGCATTTATAATACTAGCTTACGCCCGCGACTTCCTCCCCGTGGAATTATAAAATACAAAAGTGTGTAGCCTATATGTTCTTCCAGACTAACCTTTATGTCTATACCAAAATTCATCGACAATCGTTCAGCCATTTAGACTACAAACTCTAACAAACATCCATCCATCCATCCATCCATCTAAAATCACATTTATAATGTTGGTATGACTAGTAAGATTGATTCTCTGATTTCATATTTTTATTTCATTTCTGTCTACCCACTTTAAGTGAGATAGTGATTCCAACATGTGAACCTGTGGTATTCAATTATATTGTAAGTAAATCATTTCGCAAGTTTAAGTTGGGTGCGTCTTGAAGATGTCAAACATAACTTGTTTAAGACAGACGTTATATTATAAGCGGTAGCGGAAATGTCACATTTAAATGTTTTAGAACCTCGATAAGTTAAAGTCCAAGGGAAACACAAAATGTTTTAAGTTATCAAGGGTCTATGTTGTTGAGGCTTCGGGCTCTGAATGGAAGGGAACATATTTTTTTTTGAAGTTATAAAGGTTTTAAGTTGCCGAGGTTTGAGTTATCGAGGTTCTATTGTATAAGTTTCATTGAACACAATTATTTTAACTACAAAAACCTAACCTATTTTTAATTGTAAGATGCGAGTGACCCAATGTTTTAATATTATAGAAAGTCTTTTAAGATATAACAAAAATATGGATTTCAACAAAATTCTCGTAACTTATATATTCTAGTTATTATGATATTTTAATTGTCTTAAAAAAATAATAAAAACTCTATTGACGAAAAATTGTAAGTATATCTAAACCATAATCTAAATAATTAATAAAAAAATTTACTTTACGTCCAAAATTTTTTTTAAATAGATATACCAAATTATTACGAGTTTTCAAACAATTCACTCATAATAAAATATTACAAAATTTTAATTTTCCGCTCCGCTTATGCATGTAACGCTACCTTAACCACTTAATAACTGGCAGAATGTCAGCTTGTGACCGCATAGGCATGATAATTCACGTGACTTATCGAAAATGCCTTATAACACTTTGAATGCAACTTCCATATGTAAATCTGGCATTGATGGTGTTAACATAGATGACAATATATTTCTTTGTTTTAAACTGCAGGCGTAGTAATGCTTATGTTAATACTTCATACTAATATTATAAATGCGTAAGAGATGGATGTTTCTTAGAGTTTGTAGCCTAAACTGTTAAATCGATTTCGATGACATTTAGTATAGATGTAGAGGATAATCTAGAACACATAGGCTACACACTTTTGTTTTATTAATTCCGCGGACGGAGTCACGAGAGAAAGCTTGTTAGTATTATAAATGCGAAAGTTTGGATGGATGTTTGTTAGTACGTAGTATCTCCAAAACAGCTTAAAATATTCATGTAATTTGTCACAAGTAGAACATAGTCTGTAAAAACACATAGGCTATTTTTTATTTCCTCGTAGACGGAGTCACGGTCGACGGTTACTTTATTTACAAATGCCCATATATTTAATTTTCCATGAAGATGTGAATATTCATTTTAAATATTTGATCCGTTTATCCATATTAAGATATCGCACTCGTTTTGGTTTGAGAATTTTAATCACTAATTTTGTACCCATTAGTGGCTAGTGATGTTCCGCAAAAGGGTATCGATAAAATTTTATACCGAGGAAAGATTTGTTGATCGACTTCTTTTTTGTATTTTATAAATAAACTCATAAATTACTGGAAACTATTTCACCATTAGAAAACGTATTAGAACACAAGAAGTATTTATTACTAGATTTTTTTTTAATTCCACGAGGATAAAACAACCGTTTTATTTCTATTATTTTTGGTATAACAGAAGAATTAGGTTATAGTAAAACATTAATGTATCAAAAACATTATTCGTTTTAAAACAAATTACATTACGATGCAAATACTGATAAACGATATATTGTATTCCTATAAATAAAAAAACTAAATTTAAAGGAGATTGCAACCCGAAACTTAAATTTATTTGTATTGTTTGACCTATACGTGAGTTTTTGCGACGTGTTTCAAACAATAGCAAAACATACAGAATCACTATACTACCCTTACCCTACAGTTAAATAGATTTTATCTTAGAACACTTATCGATAAAAATAATTCAAAAGTTATCGATAATCACTGACATCACTAAACTCACCATATTGTTAAGTGACGGCGTATGATACACAACTACGGTAAGGACGGCGCAAGCAACTTTTATATACTGAGGACGATATCGCGAGGTCAAAGGTGATGGTATGGGAGATGAGGGTGACAATGATTTCATGTTTTGTTAGGATAAAATTGCATTTTAAAGCATATAGTCAAATAAGGTTATCTGTACAGTAAAGCCCTATTCAGGAATTATGTCTCTTGGTGGACATTCCTGCAACTGTTTTCAATTGGCCTCTTTGCTCTTACACTCTTTTTAAATGTGAGGAAGAATAATAACATAATCTACAATACTAGCTTTCGTCCGCGACTATGACTGCGTTGAATAAAAAGAAACGAAAGTGAGTATCCTATGTGGTCTTCCAGATTATCCTCTACATGTATGACTATCAACGAGATCCGTTCAGGAGTTTAGGATTCAAACTCTAACAAAGATACATCTAAACTTTCGCATTTCTAATATTAGTAAGATTATAAATATAAAATGAGAATTATGTTTTTTTTTTCACGAGATTTAAGACCCTTCGTAATCCAATTTATATCTTAATTATGTTCTGTGTTGTGTCTTCGCTTTTGTTTGCAGTCGAGTATAAATGTGTTTTTGTCCCGCAATTTTTATGGACATCCTAGCGTTCTACATCAGGATCAGTCTAAATTGTATTTGCGTGTGTTCTTGTTTTGTACAATTTCATTTTCATACTAATATTACGAATGCGAGTAGATGGATGGATGTTTGTTAGAGTTTGTAGCCTAAACTGCTAAAGGGATCTCCATGAAATTTGTTAAAGATGGTAATAGTCTAAGGGAACAGATAGGCTTTTGTTTATTCCACGCGCACGGAGTCGCGTTCGAAAGCTAGTTTTAAAAAATATTTTTGTCAACTTTAAAATATTTCGAAGTCAACCAATTTGACAATTTATCAACAAGTACTTTGTTGTCTACATTACAATTGGGTAATATCATACTTAAATCAACTTTCCTTATACGATACTTGTCCTGTCGACCCCATATAGCCTGCGGCTTGAAGATGTCATTGTAACTAAAGTGGTTATTGCGTAATTTCTTAACTTTTAACTCGACTCGGGACAATGCAATTTCATTATAAATTAGCTAGCACGTAAATTTTTGAAAATCTTCAATGTTTTCTACAAAACTTGTGTTTATTTAGTCCCCTTGTTGGTCGTAAGGTCGGGAATACATGAAAATAGAACATTCCCATCCCAGTTATAGTCACGTGTCAAGTACTGGCTTGTAGGATGTTTAAGTTACTAGAGCTACGTGCAAGTAAATGGATCGAAAGGGGTTTGAAACTTGACTAAGTTGCAAGAGGGATCAAAAGGGATACGAAACTTGACTAAGTTGCAAGAGGATTCGAAAGGGGTACGGAACTTGACTCTTACACTATTCGATAACATTTTACTGGCATGTGTACGCATTGCGACAGTAGCTGGTATCCCAGCGAAACACAGTTTTACTGCCATTGCCGTCTTTACTTTTTCTGCATTGGAGCCATTGTTTTATTCTTTTTATTCTAAACTAGCTGTTCCCGTGCGGCTTCATCCTCATGAGATTATTAATTTTATTCCATTGTTTACATTTGTCAAATTATCAATTGCAAATGTCAAAATGACCTGACATCACAAACCTTTGCAATCTTACTTTCTTGATGTTGGCAGCAACTTATGGTCTTTTTCCCACATTAGCGTTTTTATCCAACATATTTACCCCCTAAGTTAATGGTGTGAAAATATATAGCCTAAAGCGTGACATAAGTGTAGGGCTTTTTTTTTAAAAAGGATTATTCAAAAATATGGTGTAATTGCTGACATCTTATGCAACAAAGAAGTGTGTGTTTACGATTTATTAAAATAGTATAGATGTATATTAAATTCTTTTAGTTTTTTTATTTATTTTATTTATTTATTAAGATAAACCAACAGGACAAAATTATAACACATACATTTTTACACAATACAATAAGTAACATGCAGATAATTTGTCCTAATTATAGGTTTACACGACATACATAGAAAAATAACAACAACAACAACAACAACAGTAGACAGTATATGTTTTTATCTTTTTTTTTTTTTATTTTGTTGAACCCAAAAAGTAAAAATTAAATTTAAGTGATAACCTCACGTAGATATTTTCTTTAGTATATATAGATATTATATAGATATTTTTTTTATTAGTTCTTAAAGAAGCAGGATTTTTACAGTAGTTAATTAATTAATAAGTTCCCTGTAATTTATAATGTCTTATAAATAAAATGTTGCTCAATAACAGTTAATGTCGTGGATGAGTAAAAAATGTCGATAATCTTGCTTACTGGCCGACCGTCACCCTGCGCGTGGGCGTACGGCCGTTGCACTAGCGGGTACAAGCACTGAAGCGGAAAGTGGAACAGTATAAAACTAGTAGTTAAATGTTTTGTCTATCTTTACGTAGTCAGATTTAAGCATATTTCCATATGGATACTGTAACTCAATATTTAATTTAATAATGGTAGAGGCCGCTTTAATTTCTTTGCACGAATAGACCTTTGATCCACGCCACCACCGCACCGAAGACATGCGTCAAATGGAAGCAATTCTGCGTTGCGACTATTCAGTGCTGGAGGCCTAATTTTAGTCCTCTTTCTCTTTTCATCCTTAAAAAAAAGTGGAGTAGAGTGAGGAATGGAACGCATAGGCTTAGGAAATCCTCTTTCTGTGTGTTCCCCTCTATTAATTAAAGGTAGACAACTTCTGTAAATGTCTATGGGAAAAAATAATCTATGGGAAGCGGTTAAACCGCAATTTTTTTCGAATTACAACGGCCGCTTCCTTTTTTGGTATAAAAAAATTAAATTAAAGTTTGATTTTTCCCGCGTGTTTCCTGGCCCCATGTGGTACTGACGCAAGTCATGAAAGGAGGCTGTGTCGCCTTGGCGGGCATTTCTTGCTTAACTCCCGATGATCTAAAAGCTATTTGTTATTAAACATAACTTACTTATGTTATAATTGTTGAACTACCTACATTATGGTGGCCTTTTTCTTTTAAAGAAACGTGTCTTATGTTGAATTGTTGCCGAGTTATCGAGTCGATATGAAAAAAAAACTATTTCTGGGATTAAAAATAGCCTGTGTTTTCTTCCAGACTATCATAGGTTATCGACTAGCTGTTGCCTTCGACTTCGCTCACGTGAAATTATGAAAATAATAAAAAGTTCAACCTATGTTTCTTACTGATAACGTAGCATTTTAATGGTGAAATATTTTTTGAAACTGCCCAATAGTTTTTTTGAGTTATTTCAACACATACAAAAGTACAAAAATTTTCCTCTTTTAATAGTACAAGATTTCGCCCGCGACTCCATCTGCGTAGTATTAAAAGCAATAAAACTGACTAGCCTATGTGTTCTTCGAGACTATCCTCTACATCTATGCCAAATATCATCGAAATCCGTTCAGCCGTTTAGAATACAAACTTTAACAAACATCCATCCAGCCATTCATCTAAACTTTCACATTTACGAGTATAATATTACGAGCTGTTGCCCGCGACTTCGTCCGCGTGGTATTAGAAAACATACGAACTATATAAATAACAAAAACCTACGTATCCCTCGGGAACCGCACATTTCTCGGGGATGTAGCTTATCTCATGTGTACTCCAGACTTTGTTTTATATCTGTGCCAAATTTCAATACGATATGTTGAACCGTTGCCGAATGATCGAGTAAACATAAAAAAACTAAATTAATGAATCCCACGGGAACCGTAACTATTCCCGGGATAAAAAGTAGCCTATGTGTTCTTCCAGACTATCCTCTACATCTATGCCAAATTTCATCGAGATCCGTTCAGCCGTTTAGGCTACAAACTCTAATAAACATACATCTAAACTTTCGCATTTATAATATTAGTAATGTTACTATAAAATGTGCATAGTAATTGCATTAATAATACATTTTTAGAATCGTATATGAAGTGCGTAGTCGTTAAGCGAACGTAAAGGTTAGTGAGGGGAAAGGTCGATGTTATTAGGGTTGTCAATTCAAAGAAAAAATTTTATTTACAAATAATTATTATGATAACGTTTATTTCTTCAATAATTCTATACTATCTATACTAATATTATAAAAGGAATTTTGTATGTATTGAAATAACTCAAAAAGTACTGGGCCGATTTAAAAAAATCTTTCACCATTAAAAATCAACGTTATTAGTGATTAATCATACTAGTTTTAAAAATGCATAAGTTTTTATGGATGGATGTTTGTTAGAGTTTGTAGCCTAAACTGCTGAACGGATCTCGATGAAATTTGGTATGGATGTAGCGGATAGTGTGAAAGAACACATATGCTTTTGTTTTTTTTTATTTTCACGCGGACAGAGTCGCGGGCAAAAGCCAGTTTACATATAATTAAATATATAATTTATCATTTAATTAACTTCAATTAAGACCTATTTGCGAATATTTTGATTTGAAAGTGTTATAAATGTGTTTGAGACGCACGAACACGAAGGAACATGACTAATTGTTACGTTCCTAAGCCGAGTGTGCGAGTGAGAGCGCAAAAAGCAATAGAGGCACAATCTTAGCGACTTGTGACGTCATCAAGTGACATCGATTTTGTAGACAATCTATTTTTTTTATCTCCTATGTATTTTTTGAAATAAGAAAGTTAATTGACTCTAAAGATACAAAACAATTTTCTATGAATTAATTCGATTTTTTTTTAATATTTGAATTTTATCGTTGACAACCCTACCGGTCGATGCATTCCACGAACCAATAGAACGGTTTTGGTAATACGGATCAACCTAAATTAAAAAATCTGAATGTTAATCCGTGAAGGTTGCAATAACTTAAAGGGGTAGACAGACATACACAAGTATACATCTAAGTTTTATTTACACTAATATCTATTCACTAAGCTTCTAATAACATATAATTAAATTGGAGTGTCTGTTGTACTGGATGGTAGCTGACAGACGGGCATAGTATACTGTTTTTCTTAATATTGCGTAGACAAAGTCGCGGGTAATAACTAGTAAATACTATATCTTAATCTTTGTATCCTTTTAATAAATGCTTGTTCATAGAATAAAAGAGATCTAAAAACGCCATTCTATCGTGGAATGGTCGTCTCTTTAGTGTTAGCTCGTTGTCGATGTCGAGATATGTTAGCACCTCCTTGGTAACTGGCGTCCATTGGACTGGTAGTAGTTCGGTTATATCCGGTGTTGGGTTTCTGTGGAAAAGATTAAAGTTTAATCTGTTGTTGAGTTTTCAAATTTAATCTTATACTTTGTGTGATAGCTTCAGTAATGTTTGGTTACTCTTGAAAGTTGATTTAGTATTTAAACTAACATATCTTACTAATATTATAAATGCGAAAGTTTAGATGGATGGATGTTTGTTAGAGTTTGTAGCCTAAACTGCTGAACGTATCTCGACCTAATGTGAAAGAACACATAGGCTACTTGCTTTTGTTTCTTTTATTTCCGCGCGGACGGATTCTCGGGCGAAAGCTATTTCGTATATTAAATCACTAGCTGTTGCCCATGACTCTGTCCGCGTGGAATAAAAAAAAACAAATGTTAGGAGCCTATGTATTCTATACTATCTACATTTATAACAAATTTCATCGAAAGCCGTTTAGGTTTGTAATTCTAACAAACATCCATCCATCTAAATTTTTGCATTTATAACAGTAAAAATAAATTTCGCTCGTGACTCTGTCCGTGTTTTAAAAAAAAGCCTATGTGTTCTTCCAGATTATCAAACCAGATTTCATCTAAATCCCTTCAGGCGTTTAGGTTACAAACTCTAACAAATATCCATCTAAACTTTCGCGTTTATAATATTAACAAGATTAGTAAGAATAATAAGTCGTTACTGTTGTTGTACTCTCTGACAGATGTCAACGTCATACAGGCAACTGCTACACGGTACAGCGTGAGTATTGTCTTGGTTGACATAAACTTACCCGTATTTGACAAAGTTTGTCCATAATTTTGTCATTCTATCTATGGTCGTTTGATCCTCTTCAGTAGGCGTTTCTTGTATTATTGACACATCGAATAAATAACTAATCTCATCAGCATGACCAGCGCCATCTTCAGTCACGTTCAGTCTCCATTTAACAAAGTTCCTATCTCCGGAATAAGAGAATATGTAATGATAGACGTTTCCAGAATTTTCCAGATACTTCTGAACACTTCTATGGACTGGATGGTTGAACATTATATCTGATTGGAAATCTATCAAATTGTCCTTCACATCACCAACGTTAGTTTCATCACCGATGTAAAATTGTTTAACTAACGTCATCATTTCATCATCATCGAAGTTAAATGACATCGTTAAATATTTTTCAAATACATCTAAATCAGTACTCTCTCCGATAGACGCGCCTACTAGCATTTCTCTATTATTATAACCTGTCAAAATTGGTATGTCTTTCGCTTTTGGTATGCCACTGTTTATCGGATGTTCAGTTACGAATCTTTCGACACCATCGAATTCTTCTTCAACGCATGGCATGAAATTTAAATTAGATTCTAAAGCAACTGCTATAACTAATTTGGGATCAACAGATGCTAAGAAGTTTATAGCTTCATTACTATCTTCAGTATCAAAACCTAGTTTATCAGCTAAGATAATGGGTGCATTTGGATTGGATTCAACGATTGCCCAAGGACCTAATGTAGTACCACTCTGCATAATCACTTTATCGAAGAGTTTCTCCTGTTCAGATATTAAGTGGAAATCAACAGAAGCAGCTCCAGCGCTTTCTCCGAATATAGTTACTTTATTAGCGTCACCACCAAATGCACTTATATTTTCTTTAATCCATCTCAAAGCGGTTAATTGGTCCTTCAAGCCTTGATTACCAGATACGTCTGGAGTATCCAGACACATGAAACCGTAAGGTCCAACGCGATAGTTGACAGTAACAAGTATGACGTCATTCCTAACTAGATACTTAGGCCCGTATACATATCTACCAGAGAAACCGATTTGGAAACCGCCGCCATATATCCAAACGAGAACGGGGAGTCTGTTTAAACTGGTCGCTGTGTTTGGTACGTACAAGTTGAGATGCAAGCAGTCCAGTGAGCCAGTGATTTGGTTATTGAATTCGTTTATTTGTGGACAAATGGCGGTGTCGTCGATGGCCTCGAATGTCTCTTCGAAGTTAGGATATGGTAGTGATGGCTGAAAAAATAATAGGTAAAGAATTTAACAATTTATTTTAAAAAGTGTTTTTGTTTTAATTTTGATTGATAAAACTAGATGGCTTTGATAGGAGATAGCTTTTTATAAAAGGTGAATTCGCCATACTGGCGAAGCGATTACTGCTCAGACATTCTCTATAGCGGATGCATAGCTTACTCTTAATCGACGGAGGAGATGCACATAAAGATGTTTTCCCTTCCCATACGTCTACATCGTCAAATCCACGTTCCCAAAACGGGTGGGAAAGGAAAGGGACTTAAGTTGGACCTTTGGGCTAAATTTTGAATATAAAAACCATTTTAATTACAGAAAAAGTATCAAATAAAGCAACATTGAATATTTTTCGATATTGTGTAAACAGCGTTGATAAAGAATTTTCTACTTATATTTAAATACTAGCTTTCGCTCGCGAATCCGTCTGCGTGGAATTAAAAAAAACAAAATTGAGTAGCCTATGTGTTCTTCCAGACTATCCTCTACGTTTGTACCAAATTTCACCAAAATCCGTTCAGCCGATTAGGCTACAGTCTAACAAACATCCATCCATCTAAACTTTCTCATTTTTAATATTAGTTAGATCAGTTATCGTATGAAGACATACCCCAAATGGATTGGTATAATTGACCATAGCGTATGGTATACCGAGGAACATGGCGTAGTCTCCATCCGTCGCCTGCAGACCGCGGATCAGACCACGCTTGCTGTCCACTAGTGGGTCTAACCGAGGCGCTGCCCACGCGACAGTCAAACATAATTGCAGTATAACAAACTTCATGTTAACTGCACAATGGTGTTGTTAGTTCTGATATTTTTAACGTTATATTAAAGATATCGATATTTCTCAAGTATCTGATAAGATATTTTTTTAAGAATCGTTGTGAAAGAATGGAATTATTAAAATTTGAACCTCGAAATGAAAAGGAGAGTTTTAAATAATCAAATTTGCTTATTTAAGCTACATAACGTATCAAAAGTTTTTAGCTATAGCCCTTTTTTACCTAGAAATATGTTTAAACTAACCTTTTGCCCGCGACTCTGTCTGCATGTAATAAAAAAATTAGTTACTTTTGTGTTTTTCCAGACTATCCTCTACATCTATGCCAAATTTCATCGAGACCCGTTCTGCAGTTTCTACAAACTCTAACATACATCTAAACTTTCGCATTTATAATATTAGTAAGATGAGTGATATTTGTTATTTATGGCCGGTTTCCTAACTACTTTCGTTAGTGTTTTTGGTTCGATGAATTCTAAAATGCGATTCCATACTACGTAACTAGTGTTTAACTAAGTTGAAACGTAGGTAACTTAACACTAATGAATCCGTAGGTAATGACATAATGTGTGAAAACTTTAGAAACCCATAAATTGTTTTAAAAATATGTCGACGCGTTGGTTTGGTGTTTGAATTGAGTTATTGAGCTAGCGCGCTTTGTCCTTCGGCCGCGTCTTCACTTAGCTTAGGTGGAGTCGTGGTCAAGCGCTGGTTTATTTATGTAAAAAAAAAAGTTTTAAATAATGTACGGAATTCTTACGATTTTGCCTCAAAATTGATAAAGATAAAACCTTACGAAAGATGTTGTTATCCGATATTTAACCTTGGGTTTGAAGTTTTGGTTACATTGATAGGGTTGTCACTTCCAGTTTTTTTTATAACATAAAGTGGCAAACGAGCAAGCGGTTACCTGAATCCGCCAAAATGACGAAGCGACCGCTACCCATAGACATCCGAATTTGCAGATGTGTTGCCTACCCTTATCCGAGAGAGGAGGAGACGCACATAAAGAGGATATTTCCCCTTCCTATGCATCTCCTCCGTCAAATCCACTTCATCTTCCCATCCTCTCCTTATAAGAAAAGGGTGATAAAGGGATTTAAATTAGGGCTCCGGCACCACACTCGTAAAACGAAACACGGAATTGCTTCCATTTGACGCCTGTCTTCTGTGTGGTCGTGGTATTACTGGGGGCGTGCCGGCCCTGCAGTGCTAAGATGTTAAAGCAGGCACTACCACTGTTATTTACATGTAACCTACGGATTTTATTTTGTAGAAGTTATGTTGTTTTTTACGTCTCTAAGGGCCCGTCCACCAATTTGTAAATTATCTGATAACAATCGAACGTGTAAAATATGTGATGGAAATATCGGATTTTGTTCATCTGATAGTGATGTCATTAAGCTATCTTACCCTCTCAGCCAGTGGTGGGACAGGACCTAAGTTAAGACCTAGCACGAACATTCAGGAAAACGTAGATTTGTGCAGGGCTCCTATCGGTACAGTACTTTCACAAATCTCGTGTAAATATTATCAATGACTTAACGATTCTGTGAAGGTTATAACCCGTCCATTTGTATAGGTCAGTGTGTATCTTGTTATATTTTTTTAAAATTTTCTAGCGCCTCATACTCATAGTTTCATTATTAAATTTTGGCAGCCCTATTTTTGACCAACTGATAGTTACTTAGATAAAGTTGCATCTAGATTGTTTTTGATGCAAGTAAAGAATGTTCTGGAAGAATTTATAATTCCAACGGAATCTATAATTTTAAATTTTATTTCTTAGATAATCTATATCTATACTATAAAGAGGGAAAGTTTGTATTTTTGTATGTATTGTAATAACTTAAAAACTACTTGGCCGATTTTAAAAATTCTTTCAGCGTTAGAAAGGTTAATAAAGCGAGCAAGCGGCCACCTAAAGCCGTCAAAATGGCGAAGCGACCGTTGCTCATAGACATCCAAATTTGCAGATGCGTTGCCTACCCACAATCGACGAAGAAGGAGACACGCATAAAGGGGATATTTCCCCTTTCTATGCGTCTCCTCCACCGTCAAATCCACTTTCCCATCCATCCATTCCTTATAAGAAAAGGGTGGAACGGAAAAGGGACTTAATAGGGCCACCGGCACCACACTCGTCAGACGAAACGCGGAATTGCTTCCACTTGACGCCTGTCTTCTGTGTGGTCGTGGTATTACACCAGGCGAGCCCTGCAGTGCGAAGATGTTAAAGCGGCCTCTACCACTGTTAAATCAATATTTAATTTCAAAATGTAATGACAGTGTAGTTTTTTAAAAACTTATTTCATTCAATTGTTAATTTATTAATCGATCATTGTAAATTAATCATTTGAAAGTATATCATAATTAAATCTAGATTTTTTTATCGTTTGATAATCTAGACACAATTTTGCAATTGTAATACACATTTGAACGAGCATTTTTTCCTTCGTTCGGGCGGAATTAAAAAAAAAATCTAGTTATGAATATGTCCTATGTCAGTCAGTAATAACGTAGCTTTCTAATGATGAACGATGTTTTTAAATAACTCCAGTAGTTTTTGAGTTTATGTGTTACATACAAATCGTCGGTATACAAACGGTATACGGCATACAAATCAGGGAGCGTCGGTGGCTCAGTGTTTTAAGCACTTGACTTGTAATCTACAGGTCTTGGGTTCGAATCCCGCCGCCATGTACCAATGTGATTTTCAATTTTCGAATTTTCATATGTACATAATTTACCCGACGTTCTTACGGTAAAGGAAAACATCGTGATGCAACCTGCACATATCAGCGAAGAAATTCAAAGATATATGTGAAGTCAACCAACCCGCACTTGGCCAGCGTGGTTGACTATGGCCTAGTCACCCTAACTTTAGGGTAGGCTCCGAGCCCCTCGGTGGGGACGTATAGTGAGCTGGTGATATGATACAAATACAAATTTATCCTCTTTATTAGACTACTAGCTGTGCGTGTGACGTCATCCGCATCCAATTATAAAAAAACTTTATTGTTTACATTTGTCAAATATACAATTGAAAATGTCAAAATTACCGTTACCATAATCTTGTTTCCCTAATGTTGGCTTGTAGTTTATTGTCCCTTTCCCATATGAAGGTTTCCAATTTATCCCCTAAGTTTAATAGCGTGATAATATATAGCCTAAAGCGTGTTGTAAGTTTAGGGCTTTTTATTAAAGAAATAATTATTCAAAAATATTCTGTGATTGCTGACATCCTACGCCACGAAGTAGTGTGTGTGTTTACGCTTTATTATATTAGTATAGACTCGTATAAAAACAATTAAACGAAGTATTGGTATCAAAAAAAGTTTATTCTTGCTATTAACAATCAAAAAATTTTAGTCGTTTTCCATTTAAAGGTAGTTTTTCAGTTTTCCTTGTTAGCTATCAGCAAATGTTTGTTGGCTTTATAAAATAGATCCAAGAATGTCGTCCTTTTGTGGAATGGTCGACTCCCTATGGTCAGCTCTCTGTCTATATCCAGATAGGTAAATGCATCTTTAGTGATTGGAGTCCATTTTACAGGCAAAAGGTCAGTTGTCTCCGGTGTTGGGTCCCTGAAAAAATTATTCATCAGACCTTTTTACACGTATTTATGTCTGAGTTGCCACTAAGCCTTAAAGGCATTTACAGATTCACTGGTCTTCAGATGACCTCGTTTTTACACGGAGACGTAACTAGGACATATCTGAAAATTCCTGTATGTTTATTGTGCTCGCTTGTCTGCTGGAGTTTTGACTGAGGCCTTGAGTTTAAGGTAAGCTAAACTCCACACAGCAGGTAGTTGACTATGTTTGTGCTCGCTTAAAACAGTGGACGTGTTGACTAAAGCCTAGTCTTTTTTAGGCTATTCTCAAGTCTTTATTACCACGTGTGCAATATGATGACTTGGATACTTCTTACTTATAAATGAGAAAGTTTAGATGGATGGATGTTTGTTAGAGTTTGTAGCCTAAACTGATGGACAAGTTTCGATGAAATTTGGTATCTGTAGAGGGTAGTTAGGAAGGTCACATAGGCTACTTTTTTTTAGTTACACGCGTGCATATTCGACGAAAGCTAGTTATCAAATAAATTATTATGCTTTGTTATCTGGGATTAATATTATCTATCCAAACTATATTAAAGATTTATTGCTAAATACCAGATTTGATGCAATAATAAGATATTGTTTGTGATCATTTAAAGATAAGATGTGATTAAGATTAGAAAAACAATTGATGCGTCAATTTGCAAACAAGGCAAATAATAAGAATGAAGAGAAGTTTGAGAGTAGCCCCCGTAGTAGAGAAGGTTAGGAGTAAAAGGTTAGCATGGTATGGGCATGTTATGAGGAGGGATGAATCGCATGTTACAAGGAGAACGTTAGTTATGAGTGTGGAGGTACATCGGTAGAGGTAGACCTAGAAAGAGATGGATGGATTGTGTGAACGGTGACATGATGAAGGGAGTGATGACTGAGATGACGTATGATAGAGTTATGTGGAGGACAAAAACCTGTTGCGCCTACGGGAGTAGGATAAGGAGATGATGATGAATTTTCAAACAAGGACTACGTAGTACCAGTACAATGTCCAGTAAATTTAATACCAAACTGATCTATTTACTAAAAAGGATATATGCAAGCTTAGCGCGGACACCTTGACTAAACTATCGCACAACTGTTTACTCTTGCTTTGATTACTCTGCTTGTATGTGCGCAGACTACTCGATTCTAATGTGCAACTAAACAGATGAATTAGCTTCGAAACAATCGACAATCAACAGTTGTTTATTAGTTAGTAAAAGGTGTGCGTCCGCTCTTTTAGAAAAATATAGAAGAGTACTTGGTATGTCGGCATAAAATACCTTGACAAAGATACGGAATATCTTATGCCATAGAGAATATTGGTTAAAACTCACCCGTATTTAACAAAATTGGCCCATAACGTGGTTATTCTATCTATGATCAGTTGGTCTTCTTCGGATGGTGATTCCTTGAATATAGCCACGTCGAATAGGTAGCTAATCTCATCAGCATGAGACGCCCCACCTATGGTGACGTTATTTCTGTATTTGACAAAGTTTCTGCCACCGGCATATGAGAAGATGTAGTGGTATACTCTGCCACCGTTCTCAAGATATTTATGTAAACTTCTATGTACCGGATGGCCGAAGGTATAATCAGATTCGAAATCCATAAGATCCCATCTGATCTCTTCACTTACTTCGTCATCACCGACATAGAATTGTCGGACAATGGACTCCAATTCTTCGTCGTCACTCAAATCAAACATCATAGCTAAATTTCTTCTAAACGTGTTTAGACTAAGCGATGAAATTGGTCTATTGACAAATGGTACCAGCATCTCTTGGTTGTTATATCCAGTAAGGATCAAGACATCTTTAGCTTTAGGTATTGGACTGTTAACTGGATGACTGGTTATAAATCTCTCTACACCTATATCTTTTTCTATGCAAGGCACAAACCTATTTGGTATTTCTAAGGAAGCGGCTACTACTAGGTTAGGTTCGACAGTGGCTAGGAATTTCAAAGCATCCTCTACGTCGTCCGTATCTAGACCCAGGCGTTTTGCGAGCGCTAATGGTGTACTTCTATCAGAATCTGCTACAGCCCAAGGGCATTGTGCTGTACCACTTTGCAATATGACTTGATTGAATAGTTTCTCTTGTTCAGAAAGAAGATGGTAGTCGACAGACACGCCTCCAGCGCTTTCACCGAAGATTGTAATTTTGTTAGCATCTCCACCGAATGAATCTATGTTTTGTTTCACCCAGCGTAAAGCGCTTAGTTGATCCTTTAATCCTTGGTTACCAGGTACTTCAGGAGTGTCTAAACACATGAAACCGTATGGCCCTAATCTATAGTTTAATGTGACTAGAATAATGTCTTGTTTTACTAAGTATTTTGGGCCGTGGACGAAACGACCTGCGAAACCGATGGTAAATCCACCTCCGTATATCCATACGAGGACAGGGAGTTTGTTCCTTGTTGTAGCTTTGTTAGGGACGTATACGTTTAAGTGTAGACAATCTAAGGTTCCAACTAATTGATTGTTGAATTCTTCTCTTTGCGGACAGATGGCGGTGTCGTCGTTAGCTTCGAACACGTCATCGAAATCCGGGTATGGGAGAGATGGCTGAAAGTAATGTCATGTTAAATTATGAGTATTGAAGCGATATTTTAAAGTAACGGTAGCTAATGTCAAGCCCACTGTATATTCTGTTAAAACACCAGCCTTTGCCGGCGTCATCGTTAGCGTGAAATTTAAAAACAAACGAAAGTAAGCAGCCTATGTTTTCTTCCAGACTGTCCACGTCTATGCTGAATTTTATCTATTCCGTGCAGCTGTTTGGGCTACAAACTAACAAATTAGTGTAGTTAATTAGTAATATTACAGACAAAAACTTACCCCAAATGGATTACTAGCATTAACTTTAGCAAAAGGTATGCCTAGGAACATTGAATAATCACCATCAGTTGCTTGCAACCCTCTTATCAACCCTTTCTTAGTCTCCACGAGTGGGTCTACCCTAGGTAACGCCCATACTGTATACAGTAATAACAAACACACGAAGACCACTTTCATTCTATCAGAAATTCAATAGAACTGTGCCTTGGATGTAACGAGCATCCCTTTTAAGATGTCAAGTTCAAGAGATTGATAAGATTTGGCTGTAAGGCTGCGGTTACATTATCTTTTAGTCTTGAGTTTGTGTTGTACAAAAACGTATTAGTTTCTTTATTATAGTTCCTGAATTATAGTTGTTATAAATTAGGATGTATGGATGGATGGATGTTTGTTACTAAATCCAAATCTCCTCAACGGATGTCGCTGAAATTTTGCAAAGATTTAGAATGTACTCTGGAAGATCTAATAAATTACGGAGGCTTACTTTTAGTCCTCTACTTTTCCACCTTTTTGTACAAGAAAAGTGGATTTGACAGAGGATACTACGTATGGATAATGTATTTCCATTCTGTGCACACTCTGTAGATTTAAAATAGGCAACGTGTTTGCAAATGTGTATGTCTATGGGCATCGGTTCGCTGTTTAGTCTAATTCCATTAGCCGATTGCTCGTTTCTCATCCTTACACTATAAATAACTAGCTGTTCCCGTGCGGCTTCATCCGCATGGAATTATAAAAAAATATTTATTGTTTACATTTGTCAAATTTTCAATGGAAAATGTCAAAATGACATGATAAACCTTAGCAATCTTTCTTGATGTAGGCAGCAACTTATGGTTTCTTTCCCGCATTAGGGTCTTTATCCAAAATATTTACCCTCTAAGTTTAATGGCGTGAAAATATATAGCCTAAAGCGTGACGTAAGTGTAGGGCTTTTTATTAAAAAAAGAATTGTTCAAAAATATGCTGTAATTGCTGACGTCTTAAGCAATATAGAAGTGTGTGTTTACGCTTTATTATAATAGTATAGGTAATGATTGATTGCAGAAGAGGTTGTGGACAAAAGCTAGTGAGATATAAATTCTCTCAAGTTTAAACGTTCCTTTATTTTACTATCAAATATTATTGATCTTGGTGAAAGATATAGTATCTAAGATTTTGCGATAAAAAAACTTTGAAGATTGAAAAACGCCTTTCCTGTAAACATGACTAAGTGAGAAATACAATTGATTAGGAACGATTTTTAAATGTACAGTCGCGATAATCCGCGGTGTTTCACTTACAGAAGGATACACTTGCGAAGGAGAGGTGGAGTTCCAGAGCAAATAACTTTTAAAAGTCGCTAGGCTAGTTTCCACAACCTTGATCTTGGTATGATTCAGACTGTCCTGGTTTTCAACCCCATAACAATTGTAAAATAAAATTTTAATTTACCTAAGGGTGTTTTTAAAGCGATATTCAATGTTTGAAATAAAATACATGGCTCTTAATCGGTGAAGGAGATAATAAAAAAAACATAGTAAATTCATAGGATTCTTATAACAAAAAATAACTAACTGCGGCAAAGCTTTATTTAACCATCGTTTCCTTCATATCCTATTAACAAATGCTTGTTCACATCAAAGAATAAATCAAGAAAAGCCATTCTATCATGGAATGGTCTTCTTCCAAGAGTCAACTCCTCATTGATGTCCAGATATGTTAAGGTGTCTTCACTGATTGGAGTCCACTTTACCGGCAAAAGTTCTGATGTCTCCGGAGTTGGGTCTCTGTGGACGTTTGAAATGTTAAGAAACAAGATATTTAGACTAAATCAAATAGAACAGAACCCCGTCTTTCCTTCAAGAAGCAAGATATCTATCGAAAGGTTTCTTTCCCACGTACAAAAAGGGTTCATAACGCAATTACATATTTATAAATTGTTTACCCTTAGAATTTTTTACATGAAATTTTCATGTCTTTAGTCAAAAATAAATCATATTATTCACATTAATATTATAAATGCGAAAGTTTAGATGAATGGATGTTTGTTAAAGTTGGTAGCCTAAACGGCTGAGCGGATCTCGATGAAATTTGGCATAGATATAGAAGATAGTCTGGAAGAATACATAGGCTACCAGCATTTGATTTTTTAAATTCCGCGCGGAAGTCGCGGGCGAAAGCTAGTGTATAATAATCAAGAAATATCTTACCCATACTTCACGAAATTGGTCCACATTGTCGTCATTCTATCTATCACAAGCTGGTCTTCTTCTGTGGGTGATTCTTTGAACATTTCCGCATCGAATAGGTAGCCTAGCTCATCAGCGTGTGTTGCCCCACCTATTGTTACGTTGTTCCTGTACTTTACCATATTCCTACCGCCAGAATACGAGAAAATGTAATGATACACCTTCCCATTGACTTCTAAATACTTTTTCAAACTTCTATGAACCGGATGTCCGAACGTAAAGTCTGATTCAAAGTTCATTAGATTCCATTTGATACTTTCGCTCACTTCCTCATCACCGACATAGAATTGACGGACTATTGTCTCCAAATCTTCGTTACTCAAATCGAAAATCATTCCTAAATTCTCAGCAAACACATCAAGAGTTAGATCTTCATTTGTTTTCTTAACGTATTGTACTAAAGACTCTTGATTGTTATATCCACTAAGAATTAATACATTTTTAGCCTTTGGTATTCCAGTATTTACTGGATGAGTCCCTATAAACGATTCTACACCATCAAATTCCTTTTCTACACACGGCATAAACATTTGCTGCAATTCCAAACCAGTTGCTATCACAAGCTTAGGATCGACTGTTGCTAAGAAGTTTAAAGCGTCATCCAAATTATCAGTTTCCAGACCTAAAAGTTCAGCCAATCTTATAGGGGCAGTTATATCAGAATCAACAACTGCCCATGGACATTGTGCAGTTCCACTCTGCATTATCACTTTATCAAATAATTTCTCTTGTTTAGACAGAAGGTGGTAATCGACGGATACTCCGCCAGCGCTTTCACCGAAGATTGTAATTTTGTTAGCATCTCCTCCAAATGAATCTATGTTTTGTTTCACCCAGCGTAAAGCGCTTAATTGATCCTTTAATCCTTGGTTACCAGGTACTTCAGGAGTGTCTAAACACATGAAACCGTAAGGCCCTAATCTATAGTTTAGTGTGACTAACACAATGTCGTGTTTGACTAAATATTTAGGTCCGAATTTATCTCTGCCGTGGGAACCACCAATAAAAGCTCCACCGTGTATCCAAACTAAAACGGGTAGTTTGTTTTTCGTAGTCGCTTTGTTTGGTGAAAATATGTTTAGATTTAGACAATCTAGTGTTCCAAATAATTCTGTCCCGTTTTCTTCTATTTGTGGACAGCTTGCGCTATCATCGAAGGCTTTAAATACCTCTTCGAAGTCAGGGTATGCTAGTGATGCCTGGAAATTAAAGTAATCAATGAAATCTAGATTTTTTAATGACTGAGATATTATTAGTATTGACAGCAGTAGTAAATTTGTGTCTACTTACCCCGAATGGATTGTTAGTATCGACCTTAGCGTAAGGTATGCCTAAGAACATCGAATAGTCCCCATCAGTTGCTTGTAAACCTTTTACTAAACCTTTCTTTGTTTCCACTAAGGGGTCCAATCTTGGTACAGCCCATACTGCACATAGGAACAAATTTACTAGTACTACCTTCTTCATTTCGAGGTTACAGTAAAAATGTAAAATTTTACACACGTATCTTTGAGATGTGTGGTTCAAGTGCTTGATAAAATTTGCTTAAGGCGAAGCTATATCTATATTAATATTATTAAGAGGAAAGATTTGAATTTTTGTATGTATTGGAATAACTCGAAAACTACTGGGACGATTTTAAAAATTCTTTCACAGATAGAAATGTAATTTATCTGTGAGTAACATAGGTAACTATATTTTTTAATTTTACGCGGGTGAATAACTTTGATAAAATCAAAGATGTCTAGGAAATTAAAATTCTATCATAGCTTTATAAAGATTTTAAAACTTTCTTAACATTGTCAGTCAGTGTTAACGTAGCTGTTTAATGGTGAAAGAATTTTTGTAAAAACTCCAGTAGTTTTTGAGTTTATTAGTTACATACAAATGCGATTTTTTTCCTCGTATCAGATAGCAAGCAAAGATTTGTATATTCGATCTTGAGTGATATTTATACTGTTTCTAAATATTGTGAAATTGTATGGATCTTAACGTTACCATGTGATCTATCGACATTGAAGAAATGTCGATGTTCAGATAAAATTGACATTTCCTATACAATAACTAGTAGAATATTTATGACTCATTTAAACGGAATCTTCATTTGTTTTGCCATCTCGTTCATTCTCTTTGAGAAAGAAAGAGATAGCGAAAGTCCATGAGAATGTTTTCGAGACGTAATCGACAAAATGTATAGACTAGCTTTCGCCCGCAACTTCGACCTCGTATTAGAGAACAAACGAACTATATAAATAACAAAAAGTTACGTATCCCGGGAACCGGACATTTCTCGGGATTGAACCTTATCCCATCTGTACTCCAGACTTTGTTTTATATCTGACAAATTTCAATAAGATATGTTGAACCGTTGCAGAATGATCGAGTAAACATTAAAAAACTAAATTAATTAATCCCACGGGAACCGTAACTATTCCCGGGATAAACAGTAACTTATGTGTTCTTCCAAACTATGCTCTAAACCTGTGCCAAATTTCATGGAGATATGTTCAGCCGTTTAGGCTGCAAACGCTAGCATCCATCCATCCATCGTAACTTCGCATTTATAATATTTATATGATTTCTGAAATGTACACCAATAAATGTCATACTAAGAGTAACGTATTCGTAGTTAGCTGTTGCTCGCATCTTTGTCCGCGTGTAATTAAAAAAAAAAAACATAAAGTCATAGCCTATGTTTATACAAAAATATAAATCTTTCCTTTTAATAATATTAGTATAGAGTATAGATAGTATCTGAGGTATCGTGACAATTGAAATTCGTAATCCGAGGTCGTTTGATAGGAACTGTAAGATAGTGTACGGAATGTCATTGCTTGCAAGTTTCAATATGAATTAGAGATTTTAGTAGGCATAAAGGCAATAAAGTCGTGTATCTAATAGCAAGAATCCATTTTTATTATTATTTTTTGTCTACAAGCCGTGTCTGTTCCGGGTAATCTTTGAAATGGTCGGGCAGATTTTAATAAGCCTGCCGGGATCATTCCTGATGTATCTATCAGGTATAATATAATACTTTATAGACTGATTAGCTTTCGCTCGCGACTCCGTCCGCGTGATAAAAAAAATACTAGCCTATATGTTGTTCCAACCTATCCTCTATATCTACCGAATTTCATCAAAATCCGTTTAACCGTTTAGGCTATGAACGCTAACAAACATCCATCTAAACTTTCCGAGGCTTGGGAGAAGATAATTAAAAAAACCTGAGAAGGTCATATCTATACTTCTATTCTATTATAATAAAGCGTAAACATACACTTCTTTGTTGCCTAAGATGTCAGCACATTTTTTTTAAGAAAAGCCCTACACTTGCGTTACGCTTTAGGCTATATATTTTAACGTCATTAAACTTAAAGGGTAAATATTTTGGATAAAATCCTAATATGGGAAAGAGACCATAAGTTGCTGCCAACATCAAGGAAGCAAGGTTGTCATCATGTCATGTCATTTTGACATTTTCTATTGATAATTTGACAAATGAAAAGAATAAAATAAAATTTGTATAATTTCATGCGGATGAAGCCACACGGGAACAGCTAGCTAGTAGGTAAAAAATCAAGAATAAGTCGGAAAATGCACTTTATTCTCTTCCACTAAAGCCTATTAGAAATTTCTCGTTCATTTTATAAAAGAGATCCCAGAACGCCATTCTTTTGTTAAATGGACTTCTCTTCATAGTAATATCAGAATTGATATCCAGGTAATGTTGGATGTCTTCAGTTAAAGGCGTCCATTTCACTGGAAGCAGTTCTGTTAGGTCTGGAGTTGGATCTCTGCAGAAAAAAAAAATAGTAGAATAATACGTGAAAAAATGGGCATGTTATGAGAAGGGATGAATCGCATGTAACAAGATGGACGTTAGTTGTGAATGTGGAGGTACACCAGTAGAGGTAGACGTAGAAAGAGATGGATGGGTTACGTGAAAGGTGACATGATCAAGAAGAGAGTGATGACTGAGATGACGGATGATAGAGTGCTTTGGAGGATGAAAACCCGGTGCGCCGTCCCTACGGGAGTAGGATAAGGCAGGGGAGATGATGATATTAATACGTGAAAAGAAAAATCACTATCCCTTTAAAAAATCGTCTACAGTTGACTGTCTTAGTTAATTGTCCAGAGAAAGTGTACTTATATATTGTTAAAAGAATATTGATGCATCACTTGACGTCCCGTACCTATGACAGCTGTCAATGTCATTTAGACAGAATAGCGCGCTATTCCAGCCGGAGTTAGTGGTCTGAGTGTTGAAGTTAATTACACTGTTACCATTTTATTAATGCCTAGAAGTATTGGGTCATCTTCCATTCTTTATCTTACTTACTAGATATTCCCGTGCGACTTCATCCCCATGAAATTATGAAAATGTTATGTTATTGTTTACATTTGTCAAATTATTAATAGCAAATGTCAAAATGACATGACATGACATGACAAACCATGGCAATCGTGCTACTTTGATGTTGGTAGCAACTTATGGTCTCTTTCCTACATAGGGTTTTTATCCAAAATATTTACCCTCTAAGTTTAATGGCGTGAGAATGTATAGCCTAGAGCATGACGTAAGTGTAGGGCTATTTATTTAAAAAATAATTATTCAAAAATATGCTGTAATTGCTGACATCTTAGGCAACAAAGAAGTGTGCATTTACGCTTTATTATAATAGTATAGATATCGGAAGCTAGTACATACCCGTATTTAACAAAATTGGTCCACATTGTTGTCATTCTGTCAATAACGAGTTGGTCTTCTGGTGTAGGGATGTCAGTCATCATTGACATGTCAAATAAATAGCCCTTCTCGTCAGAATGTGCAGCACCTTCCCCCGTCACATTATGCCTCCATTTACCGTAATTCCTACCACCGGAATACGAAAACACATAGAAGTAAACGTTGCTGTTATTGTCCAAAAACTTTGACATACTTCTACGTATAGGATGGTTCAAAGCAAAGTCAGAATCGAAATCTGTTAACGCAGATTTAACGTCTATGGAGACTGCTTCATCACCGATGTAAAATTGCTTGACTATTCTTACTAAATCTTTATCGATATTAAAAGCTTGTGACACTAATTTTTCAAATATACCCTCGTCATATTCACTAGGTGATAATTTCCCGTATGTGCTAAGTTGTTCTTGACTATTATGTCCTATCAGTATTGGAATATCTTTATCTTTTGGTATAGGAGTATTTATTGGATAGTCCGCGATAAATGTATTGCCTTCAAAATCTTTTTCCACACAAGGTTTACAAATTATTGATAGTTCGAATGCAGCAGCGATGACTAGTTTTGGTTCGTTTTTGATCAGAAATTCGACAGCTTTGTTAACATCGTTAGTGGCGAAACCCAATTTTGCTGCTATTAATATTGGTACGCTGTTATCCGGTTCCATAATAGCTGCGGTACGTAATGTTGTACCACTTTGCAAGATAGCTTTATCGAATAATTTATCCTTAGATAGAATATGATAATCAACAGATACAGCGCCAGCACTGGAACCGAATAATGTCACTTTACTCGCATCTCCGCCGAAATCTTCAATGTTTTCTCTAATCCATTGTAATGCTTTCACTTGGTCCTTCAAGCCCTGATTTCCTTGTACTTCAGGCGTGTTTAAACACATGAATCCGTATAACCCAACTCTATAATTAGCAGTTATAAAAATAACATCTTTTTCTACTAAAAATTTAGGGCCATATTGATATCTACCCGCATTCCCGTATTGAAAACTACCTCCATATATCCATAGTAAGACTGGAAGCTTATTGTTTTTGCTGGCTGAGTTAGGGACGTATATGTTTAGGTGAAGGCAATCCAGTGAGCCAGTAATTTCGTTTGTGATTTGTGCAGTTTGGAGACAGATGGCGTTGTCGTCGTATGCTTCGAATGGCTCTTCGAAATAAGGATACGGTAGTGCTGGCTGGAAATAAAGATTTTTATGCTTATAGGATATACATTATTATATAAAACCAGCTGTTGCTCGCGCCATCGCCTGCGTGAAATTAAGAAATAAATAAAATGTAGCCTACGTTACTCACAAATAAATTACCTTTCTAATGGTGAAAGAATTTTTCAAATCTGCCTGGTAGTTTTTGAGTTATTTCAATACATACAAAAATACAAATCTTTCCTCTTTATTATGTTAGTATTGCTATGGGGTTTAACTAACACAATCGTAAGATACTTGAGTGCGAAGGAGCCAGCTGAAAATCAGCGCAGGAACGGCTTATTCCGCCCTGCATACGCTGAGCTGGCTACCTTTTGCCATGATTGTGTTTTCTTTAGAATAAGTCCTTTTATGTAATTTCTATTTTGTGGCAATAAATACATATTCATTCATTCATTCAAGATTGTTTAATAGTTAACTTAGAGCGTGGGCACACCTTCGACTAAACAATCTCACAACTACTATGCGATTGTCGATTGTATCGCAGCCAATTCAACTGTTTAGTTGCACAACTAAAAATCGAGTAGTATGTGCACCTCCTTGGGTGAATCTTGTATCGTGAACATATTTAGTTTAAAAATGTGAACTGTCTTCATTCTTTTTCTTGCGACAAGATCCGCAAATTATTTAGTAAATGTGTGTGATGTTAACCAATTAACACAGGGCTAGCGTGGCCTAAAACTCTAGCCCCACGGTGGAATCGTATTTTTCTTTCCCTGTAGAAAAATTTCGTGAATTAAAATATTACAAACTAGATACTATACGTACCCCAAATGGATTTGTATAATTGACCATAGCGTATGGTATACCGAGGAACATGGCGTAGTCTCCATCCGTCGCCTGCAGACCGCGGATCAGACCACGCTTGCTGTCCACTAGTGGGTCTAACCGAGGCGATGCCCACGCTACGGTAATAAATAAAAAATATACTAACATCTGCATTGTAGAAATGTCAACGCAATATTGAAGTACTCGTAGATATGTTTAAAGATTAAATAATCTTGATCGTGTGATAAAAGATTGTGTTTACGTATCATCCTTTGATGTTAAGTAAAGACGAACTAAGTTTTTTGACATTGCGTCAACATAAGAGCGTCGGTGGCTCAGTGGTTTAAGCACTTGACTTGATCTACAGGTCTTGGGTTCGAATCCCGCTGTACCAATGTGATTTTCCGTTTTTCGAATTTGGATATATACATAATTTACCCGACGTTCTAACGGCGAAGGAAAACATCGTGATGCCTGCACATATCCTCGAAAAAATACAAAGATATGTGTGAAGTCAACCAACCCGCAGTGGGCCAGCATGGTGGACTATAGCCTAGTCACCCCTTATTAGGGTAGGCTCCGAGCCCCTCGGTGGGGACATGTAGTGAGCTGGTGATGATGATGGTCCACATCATCTTTCACCTTATCTTACTCCCGTATTGGCGCGACAGATTGTTGTCCTCCACGTAACTATCATCCGTCATCTCAGTCATCAATTCCTTTTTGATCATGTCACCTTTCACGCAATACTTCCATCTCTTTGACCCCGTGCGTGTATCAAACACAATCGCTCACCAGTCCACATTTTTGTTGCAAAAGCTACTAGCTAGTTAATTCTATAAGTAGGGAGAAATATGCTTTACAATTTTTACCTAGTAATTTTTGTTTGTCTTTTTGTATCTTAACGTGGCAATCGAGCAAGCGACCACCTGAATTCGTCAAAATCTTGATAGTAAATGATTTTAGTTGCTAAAAAAAAATAGATTTATAAAATATTATTTTCAATTGATAACAAACATCAACAAAGTAAACCTTGACATTTGGTCTCACAAAATAAAAACCGACACAAAAACTGTTGTTTCAAAGCGTATTGAAGGTTGGCGATTTAAAAAACCCATGGACTATAGAGAACCGGACTAGGCAAACAACAGTTGTATTAAATAAATTCTACTACAGTTTTAAGCCTGAGCTGAGGCAAAAATATAGTTTTTAATCTGCCCCCCCCCCCTCCCCGTTAATATCAAAACAGCGTCCAACGTGCTTTGTAGTCCTGTCATGATTTTTCTTTCACGTAGTTTCCTATGTTAGAGCGGCCGCTTTGCGACCTTTGACTAAACTATCGCAAAACAGTTATGCGATTGTAGATTGTTCCGCAGCCAATTCAACTGTTTAGTTGCACAACTAAAGAGTAATGTGCACACCTTTAAACTCATAGGAATCAAAGCGAGACTAAACAGTTATGCGACAATTGAGTGAAAGGTACGCGCGCTCTAAATATAGGTTTTCATATTCTCTGATAGAAATAACGACAATAGCAATGTACCGGCTTAGATTTTTTTTATAACATAAGGTGGCAAACGAGCAAACGACCACCTGAAATCGCCAAAATGGCGAAGCGACCGCTGCCCATAGACATCCGCAATTGCAGATGCATTGCCTACCCTTATCCGACGGAGGAGGAGACGCACATAAAGAGGATATTTCCTATGCATCTCCTCCACTGTCAAATCCACTTCCTCTTCCCAACCTCTCTTTATTTTTTATTTTTTATAACATAAGAAAAGGGTGGTAAAGAGAAAGGGACTTAAATTAGGCCTCCGGCCCCACACTCATGAGACGAAACACGGAATTATTTCCATTTCACGCCTGTCTTCTATGTGGTCGTGGTATTATACCGGGCGTGCCGGCCCAAACGTGCTAAGATGTTAAAGCGGGCACTACCACTGTTAAAAATAAGATTGTCACAATATAACTTAAAAATGTATTAACACAATACGAGTACACAAGTCAGCAAGGGATGAATCGCATGAAACAAGAAAGACGTTGGTTATGAGTGTGGTACACCGGTAGAGGTAGAAAGAGATGGATTATATGAAAGGTGACATGTTCAAGAAGAGAGTGACTGAGATGACGGATGATAGAGTTATTTGGAGGACGAAAACCTGGACACTACGCGAGTACGATAAGGTAGAGGAGATGAAACGAGCATGGAACTTGTTTGTTTTTTCGACAAGAGAATGTGCGTGCTAGATAGGTCCTGTCTCTAAAAAGTCAAAGAATAGACACAAGTCCTTCACCTTTGAACTAGCGATACGCCCCGGCGTCGCACGAAGAACTTTATATTTCTATCCTATCCCATATTGAAAAAAAAATCATTAGAATTGTCATTTTAAACGTCTTCCAAAATTATATTTGAGTGGGAAACGCATACGCCTGGCGTACGCATTATTTTATCTAAATATCTATGGTATACTAATATTATAAAGAGGAAAGATTTGTATTTTTGTAATATTGTATGGATTGAAATAACTCAAAAACTACTGGGCCGACTTAAAACATTCTTTCATCTTTAGAAAGGTAATTTATCTGAGAGTAAAATAGGCTATATTTTTACTCAAGATCCATTAAGCTGTTATGAAAAAACTTTATAACAAACAACCATCCATTCATGTAAACTCGTGCATTAAAGTTTTACAAATTTAATTGGGGTAGATTGTAATATTTACCGACTTATATTTAAGTCATAGAATTTACAGATGCATTGTAACCTTTTCTGAATGCGTAGGCGCAGCATGAATACCGGATTGTGTCAACTAAATTTGACCTTTTATGTCATCTGTCACTGTGTTAATGACCTTGTCATATTTACATAATTTTACCATCATACTAATATTATAAATGCGAAAGTTTAGATGGATGGATGTTTGTTAGAGTTTGTAGCCTAAACTACTGAACGGATCTCCATGAAATTTGGTATAGATGTAGAGGATAGTCTGGAAGAACGCGTAGGCTATTCATTTTTTTTTAATTCCACGCAGACGGAGTCGGGGGCGAAAGCTAGTAAATTAAATTTAGAAGCATAAAATGTGATCATCTTTTATCAGAGCGCGCACACCTTTGACCAAACTATCGCCCAACTATTGTGCGATTGTCGATTGTTTTGCAACCAATTCAACGGACAATTAAAATTAGTCGGACAATTAAAAATCGAGTAGTCTGAGTACCTACAAGGTCATAGGAATCAACTGCGATTGTACAGTTGTGACATAGTTTATTCAAAGGTGTGCGCATGCTTGGTGACAATGTGCTGTATACTAAGTGGGTAGGGAAATAAATTCTTTGTTAATGTTCACACAAAGCTTTTATAGTCAGTTGAAAATGTGTGAATCTGGTAATGGTTATTTTTATATTAATCACTAGCTGTTCCCGTGCGGCTTCATCCGCATGAAATTATGAAAATTTTATTTTATTGCTTACATTTGTCAAATTATCAATAGCAAATTTCAAAATGACATGACATGACAAACCTAAGCAATCTTGCTTTCTTGATGTTGGCAGCAACTTATGGTCTCTTTCCCATATTAGGTTTTTATTCAAAATATTTACCCCCTAACTTTAATAGCATTGAAATTATAGCCTAAAGCTCGACGTAAGTGTAGGGTTTTTTATTAAAAAAAGAATTATTCAAACTTATGTTGTAATTGCTGACATCTTAGGCAACAAAGAAGTGTGTGTTTACGCTTTATTATAATAGTATAGATATAAAAATATGAAAGAGCATAAGGTCGACATGCAATCGAATTATTTGATCTTATACTTGCGTGTACAAGAATTATTATCTTACTTGTTACTAATATTATAAATGCGAAAGTTTAGATGGATGTTTGTTAGAGTTTGTAGCCTAAACGGCTGAACGGATCTCGATGAAATTTGGTATAGATGTAGAGGATAGTCTGGAAAAATACAAAGGCTACTTACTTTTGTTTTTTTTTTTAAATTCCACATAGATAGGCATAGATTTAGAACAAATTCTGAAACAGGTAATACATTACTTGTTTTTTTAACTGCGGCTTTGAAGCCCCGGTCAAAAACATTACGTTTTGACCGATTTTACTGTAATATATTTTTTTTAGTGTACTTTGGTAAGATAATGATGTCATCGATTATCGAAATCACATAATGGTGCATCTTGAGTAGGTGAAGGTCGTTTTAAGGTCGACGTGGGTATTACTACATATGTTGGATTTAGTTTATTGTGCGTTTCGTAATGTGATTTTAATAATCCATATTTGTATGTTAATATTATTTGTTATACCTTGAACTGGTCATGGCCAGAAACAGAGTTAAATAAAAAAAACTTAGTAATCTACATGATATTCTAAATGCATGTATCCGTTTCCCAGATAAATTTAACCTTTCGTTAGTGTTATTGGTTGGATAACATGAAATGCGTTTACGTACTACGTAACAAGAGTTTTACTCTGTTGAAACTCGGTGCAACCTAACACTAAAGAATCAATAGGTAATCTATCTATGCTATTATAATAAAGCGTAAACACACACTTCTTTGTTCCCTAAGATGTCAGCAATTACAGCATATTTTTGAATAATTCTTTCTTTAATAAACAGCCCTACACTTACGTCACGCTTTAGGCTACACATTTTCACGCCATTAAACTTAGGGGGTAAATGTTTTGGATAAAAACCCTAATGTGGGAAAGGGACCATAAGTTACTGCCAACATCAAGGAAACAAGATTACCAAGGATTGTCATGTCATGTCAGTTTGAGATTTGCTATTAATAATTTGACAAATGTAAACAATAAAATAAAGTTTTTATAATTTCATGTGGGTGAAGCCGCACGGAAACAGCTAGTTACTAATATTATAAAGAGGAAATATTCGTATTTTTGTATTCGATTCATGAAAAAAACTACTTTGCCGATTTCAAAAATTCTTTCCCCATTAATAAACTACGTTATCAGTGAGTGACATAAGCTATGTTTTATTATTTTAAATTTTACGCGAACGTAGTCGCGAGCAACAACTGGTCTATACTTCTATATCTATACTAATACTAGCTTTCGCCCGCCACTCCATCTGCGTGGTAATAAAAAAATCAAAACCAAGTAGATTATGTATTCTAGATTATCTTCGACGTGTATGCCAAATTTCATTGAGATTCGTTCAGCCGTTTAAGCTACAAACTCTAAAAAACATCCATCCATCTAAACTTTCACAGTTATAATATCAGTATGATTAGAATGATTATAAAGAGGCAAGATATGTGTTACTGTAAATATTGAGATAACTCAAAAACTACTGGGTCTATTTCTTACACCATTAAAAAGCTACGTTATCACAGAGTAACATAGGCTATTTTTCATTATTGATTCCAGTGATGTCGAAGTTCGCAGTGCGTGTGGACGCGGCGGTTTCCGCATTAGGCAGTGGTGCCGGCGCAGGTCTGGATGAGAATGACTTCATAGACGCGTCCAGATTGGTCTACGATGGTGTAAGAGAGATCAGACGTGCGGTGTTGATGAACCGGGTAAGTAGGGTGTTGCATAACCACCCTTGTATTTGCAAGGGTTGTGTAAGGCATTTTCCCACGATAAAAAGAGTGTGTAGGAAGAGAATGATTTGATAACCACTTTACAGAATTGTGTTCGTCGAGTGAGTCGAATCCAATGGAAATGAGAATTTCGCCTTTAGATGGATGGATGGATGGATGGATGTTAGAGTTTGTAGCCTAAATTGCTGAATGGATCTCAATGATTGTCATACATATAGAAGATATTCTGGAAGCACATAGACTTGTGTTGTTTTTTTTTATGTTCGGACGGAGTCGCATGCAAAAGCTGCTACAATATAAATCCATCATACTAATATTGTAAACGTGAAAGTTTAGATGGATGGATGTTAGAGATTGTAGCCTAACGGCTGAACGGATTTCGGTGAATTTGGTATAGATGTAGAGGATAGTCTAGAAGAACATATATGCTGCTCACTTTCTTTTTAATTCCACGCGGAGAGTCGCAGGCGATAGTAAACAATAACAATGGCATCTTACTAGTCTTAAATGGATGTGTCGGGTAACACGATTGGATAAATACAAAATGAGTATATTAGAGGAAGTTTGAGAGTAGCCCCAGTGGTTGAGAAAATAAGTAGTAAAAGGTTAGAGTGGGGGCATGTTATGAGAAGGGATGAATCGCATGTAAGAAGATGGACGTTAGTTATGAATGTGGAGGTACATCGGTAGAGGTAGACGTAGAAAGAGATGGATGGGTTACGTGAAAGGTGACATGATCAAGAAGGGAGTGATGACTGAGATGACGGATGATAGAATGCTTTGGAGGAGGAAACCCGGTGCGCTGACCCTACGGGAGTAGGATAAGGCAGGGGAGATGATGATGATCTTACTAATATAATAAGTTTAGATGTATGTTTGTTATAGTTTGTACTAAACTGTGGAACGGATCTCGATGATTGTTCATGTAGAGGATCGTCTGAACACATAGGCTTTTGTTTTTTAATTCCACGGGAACGGAATCGCAGGCCAAAGCTAGTGTATATCTCATTTCTATTGGATTTGCAGTTTGCTAAGTGGAAATCGAATTATAATCTTTGATAAGATTTTACTTGAAGTTGAGAAATTAAGGCGTAAAAGAGTATGGTACAGTAGAACCTCGATAAGTTAAAGTCTAAGGGAAACACAAAATATTTTAAGTTATATGTTTTAAGTTATCAAGGGTCTATGTTGTAGAGGTTTTGGGCTCTGATGGGAAGGGAACATATTATTTTTTGAAATGATAGAGGTTTTTAAGTTACCGAGGTTTGAGTTATCGAGGTTCTGTGTATGGTTAGTTATGAGTGTGGTACACCAGTAGAGGTAGAAAGAGATGGATTGTGTGAAAGGTGACATGATGTAGTGACTGAGATGATGGATAGAGTTATTTGGAGCAAACCCTACTGGAGCAGGATAAAGTAGGGGAGATGATGCTTTTACTTGAAGCTAAAAAAGTTAACTCCGTTAAGTAATAGGTAATGAACCCACTTCTAGAAAGGTTACCAAGGCTCCATTTGAGTGTCTTGTAGAAAGGTAAACTCAAGGCTGAGGGTAATATGCTATGTCCAGGATGATGAAGACCTGGACCCTGAAGATGTGGAGCTTGATGAGCACTACACGCTGGAGACGAGGAGCAAATGTGAGAGGATAGAATGTTTTGCCTTGGGGTGTATAGATGTCGCTATTTTAGATCTGTCAGTCTTAACTTGTAACTCTGTTTTGTTTGTTTTTTTGTTGCATTATGTTTGAAACTGGATCACTTTAGTATTTGTTACTGTCTTTTTCGTCTGTGTAGGTATAAAAATAGGTTTCTCTAGTAATTAATATATCCTATAACAGTCAGTAATAATGTAGCTTTCTAATGGTGAAAGAATTTTTGAAATAACTCCAGTAGTTTTTGAGTTTATTGGTTACGTAAATGCAAAACTTTCTTTAGTATAACAGTATAGATCTATACTAATATTATAAAGAGGAAAGTGTATTTATTGAAGTAACTCAAAAACTACTGGGCCGATTTGAAATTTTTCACTATTAAAAAGCTACGTTATCTCTGAGTAACATAGGCTATGGTCTGACTATATTTTTAATTTCGGACGGGGAAGTGGTGCGCAACAGCTAATATTTTATATAGTTTTCGCCCGCGACTCCGTCCACGAGAAATTAAAATAAAAATAAAACATAGCCTATATTACTCACTGACAATATAGCTTTTTAATGGTGTAAGAATGTTTTAAATCGGCCCAGTAGTTTTTGAGTTATTTCAGTTCAAAATATTAGAATTTGTATTTTCTCAGACTATTGTGATCCAGTTTTAGATGTTTTCATATAGATGGTGTCATATTAATGTTCATGTTTTGTTACGGTAGTATATACGTGGTATCTTTTGGTATAAAATAAACTAAATAGGGGGCATAAAATAAAATTTTAAAGCCCTGTCCCACAACTGGCTGATAAGCTCAAATAGCTTAATGACGCCACTGTCGGATAAGGGAACAAAAACCGATATTTCACACGTTTGATTGTTATCAGACAATTTACAATTTGGTGGGACAGGTCCTGATATTTCAATATTTAATGACACTTATTGAACATTCATTCATTAATTTTATTGATTTGGGGTTTTGTTGTTGAAAATATTGTTTTAGTGTTGATGGCGTTAATATGAAGTGTCAACTCTGCCTACTCTCTATATTTTTTAATCTTTGCACGTAAATAATACCGTATTAGTTCCATCGCATGTTAATTGTTCGCATGTAGACGAGTGATGATCTCGATACTGACACGGAATTTGAACCGGTTGAAGATATGACTATGGAGACAAGGAGTAGATGTGAGTATTGTGTATTTTCATTCCCATTGGTGTAACAGAGACACCCAAACCGAACTTTCGGCCTTGTTTCGGTAAGCGAAATTACCGAAGTCTAATTGTGAAAAACAGATTTGCTATTTGACTAGTAACACACTCCAGTTTCGGGGTCGAAAGTTTTGGTTACATTTTGACAGTAATCGAAATTTTTTATCCGAAACTTTGGTCGAAATTTCGGTCCCTAACAATAAGTTGGTAACATTCGATCTTAGTGCCGCTTTAATTCGTTACGAATGTATATTTAAACGTGTTTGTGTCTCCGAGCCGGCATAAAGTTTGAATGGTACTACAGGTGTCTTAGAGTGCGCACACACATTTGACTAAACTATAGCACGACTGTTTAGTCTCGCTTTTCCTATGAACTTATATGGAGGTACACTACTCGATTTTTAGTTGTGCAACTAAACAGTTGAATTGGCTGAAACAATCGCATAACAGTTGTGCGATATTAGTCAATGGTGTGGGCTCTTAACGCTTTTTAAGTCTATAATCATTAGATGTATCATTTCATTCATGGCTTTGTTTTTTTGTAAAACTGCATGTTTTTTTGTTATTATTGCAGGTAAGTTTATTTATATGACTCTTTAAAGATAATGATTCGTGCGTAGATTTGCCAATGGTTGTGACGTCATGTGTCACAAGCCATCGGCAATTTTGCGGCAAAACGAACTTTGCAGGCGACAGCTTGTCCCTAAATAAAAAGATATGTTCACAAAAATTACTTGCTACTGAAATAAATTAACTTTTTAAAAACCCTTTAGTAATTAAATCGTTTTGAATCTATTAACAATGTCGTATGTTTCCAGCGAGCGCTCACACCGGCGAGCACGGTGTGGATGAATATCCCGATATTAGTGGAATTACTAATGCTAGGGTAAGTGACATCACTAGGACTTCTAAAAATCCATGACACCTTCCTAAGGCTTTCGTTTTTTAATTCCGGTATCACTCATCAGGAAGCCATGCGTAAAATGACTGAAGAAGATAAGCGTAAGATCCTCCAGCAAGTGGAGCTATTCAGACGGGAGAAGATGACCTTCGACAACGAGGTCGCGAAATGGGATGATGCTGGGAATGACATTATCATGCTGGCTAAACATATGTGCATGATTATGCTCGAAATGACGGACTTTACTAGGTGAGTAGACCAGACTGGTCTTTTACGTTAAAATCCTTCAGTCTTTTACAGTCTACTGTAGACTGTAAAAGACTGAAGGATTTTCTGATCTGTCGTCTTTAAATGACGTTATTTGTTAAAATTCTATCGGAAATATTTAGGTCTTTCGATGTTAGAAGACTACCATAGAAATGGTATCTACAGTTCAGCTTGTAAGATTTTAGACTTCTTCGGACTGTAGAACATGAAATACTTAGGACTTTTCATATGAATATACTTAATTTCTGTATTGTCAATTCTGTACATTATTATTTTAATGTGATGCCTTAAAAAGAATGGTCTTTTCAGGTTAGACTGGAAAGACCTTAGTCATCATCTTCCTCTTTTATCCTAGTCTAAAATCTTAGTATTTTTATAGAAAACTAAATTTAGAGGGTATATTTAAACATGAGTAGAAAATATCTTCAATTAGAAGTGTGGTCTTACATATATCTTGTGGTCTTCTAGAGGCCGTGGTCCGCTGAAGACCACGATGGATGTGATCAACGCGGCCAAGAAGATATCTGAAGCTGGCACCAAGTTGGACAAGCTGACTAGAGAGATTGCTGAACAGGTAATAAAAATACTTACTAATATAAGCTAGCTTTCGCCCGCGACTCCGTCCGCGCGACATTTTAATGAAAAATTCTATAGTTTCCCAAATATTTTTAGTCTATTCTTAATATATTTTTGTATGAAATAACTCAAAAACTACTAAACCGATTTTAAAAATTCTTTCTTTCAAAAAAGAGTATCATCTTACTAATATTATAAATCCGAAAGTTTAGATGGATGGATGGATGGATGGATGGATGGATGGATGTTTGTTAGCGTTTGTAGCCTAAACGGCTGAACGGATCTCCA